TTGTTTGATGATGTGCATGTATGCTGTTGTAGTAATTTTAATGCACAAATCCTTCATATTCTTCTTCATTCCCTCTTTTTCTCATGCAGGGTATAGACACAATGCTTCCTTATATATCCAATTGTACTGTCCGTGTGACATTATCTGATGTGATAGCATTATTGAAGTATCCTAATCCGTTATTAACTGAGTTATCAGCTGATACACAATCATTAATTGAATCATTTGGGACAAAAAGTACGTCAGTGATTGAAATACAGCTGCTATTTTTTGATGGGAGTACAATTTGCTTTTAGTGATTATTGGGTTAATTTTAGCAATATTGTGTCCATGTGTCATTGAGCATGTGCATGTGCATATTAGTTCAAATAGTGGGTTTTCAGATAACTAAAATTTCTTCCACAATTAAGTGAATTAACAGATACCGTATAGCACAAAAATTTGGAGGGACAAAAATTTGGCGAATTTGGTGAATAGAGTTTCATTTGCCAAAATAAAAACCACCATTTTGAGCCTTTATACGCATGCTCAATGGCACGTGGCCACTAATTCGCCAAATTAAAATCTGCCAATAACCAAAATTTAGCAATTCGCCAAATTTTACTCCCTCCAAAATTTCCAGCTATACGGTATTATTGTACTGTAATTGTCATCAAATTTCGATAGAGCCTGTTATATTTGTATACTCTGAGGCAAGTGATGAAACTGAAGGAGAGGATGTACGTATTGCAAGGTTAGAAACACAGTGTATGTACTGTAGTAATATCTTAGATTGAGAGATTTTAGCTATTAAAAATAATTCGCTCTAATGGCTAACACTGAAATTGTAACAAGTGAAATATTTTCATATCATGTACATCTACGTGTACATATGTATATTAAATATCACAAAAATACAGAACAGCAAAAATAAAATACCATGAAAATTCTTGACACCAATTACACATGTACATGTATTTGTAACATGAAAATTTCCCAATCTACAGTATGTATTTTATCTGTTCTTTTTTGTTTTAATCCATTTCTCTAGTAATATAGGCACTCCTATATATCTAGCTGGTTGGATAGCACGAAAATCTGTCCGTCTATACGTAGGTCATCCTGATCGCTATCATTACCTAGCTATACTTGGTGAGACTCCACCAGAGACAATGTCATTAGAGACACAGTCTGGACATACTCACTCCACCTTCTTTGATGAAGAGGGTCCAGTTGCTGATGATGTGTCAGCAAGAGAAGAGGGTGGAGGGACGGAAAAGGAAGTTAAAGTACTTATTGAAGAAGAAGAGTCTAATAAAAGGACACTAGAACAGGATTAATTGATTGATATTAGATAATAATAATAAAGTAATTCTATACCATGCCTGTAGTTGTAATTGACAAATTACATTGCCTGATTTCAGGTTAACTTACTCGTGACTTTTATCCTTTTAAAGACTGCCTTTAACTATAAAATAAAATTAATGAAACTGTGATCATGCATGTATGTGTAATGTTCAGTGGCATAATTCGATTTCAGTTGTATAGAAATCACAAACTATGTTTTATGCTATCATTGTAGCTAACAGAGGCATTATGTTTGAGTAATTAGATCTACTGTAATTCCTCTAAATATTCGACTCTCTAAATTCGAAAATAAATAATTATCTCAAATTTTCTACACAGCCAAGAGTTAACATGTATGATACAAGACACTACCCAAAATCGATGAATGGAGCCTGATTACAGTATTGATACAGTCTGACAGGTATCATTGCTGAATCATGCATGTTGTTCTGGCTGAACCAGTATGTATTCCATCATGATTGTATCAAAGCTAATAGATCTGGCTAGGCTCGTTGCTATTCATATCTTTCCTGTGAATGATGTTGCCGATTTATAATGATATTAATTGGGATACCGTAAATGGAAAATTTTTCAGGCCACCATTGTGGAGGTATAGTATAATCATTATATCATTAGTTACAATGGACCGACAGGCTAAAAACTGTCAATTCTACTTCTCCACGTCACTCCAGAGGCTCTAAACAGTTGCAGACTACTGAACAGAAAGATAAAGGTTGCAATTTTTTAACTTTTGAGACTATAACTGCTTGCTTTTCTTACAAAACGGCAGAAAGTGTATCGAGCTCCATTGGAAACAGTGCAGCAATACCTCCACAATGGCGGCCTGAAAAAATTTCTATTTACGGTATCCCAATGAATATCATTATAAATTAGAAACGTCATTCACAGGAAAGATAGCTGCCATTAGTGCTCAACATCCATGATTCAGGATGCATTAGACTGGATCAGGACTGACATCATTCATGAATCAATCACAAACTCTTGCTTTGGCTCTGTAGTCTACCATAATTCATTCTAAAACTTCGTTTTAAATATTATTGTCCCTGCGTGGTTCTAATTTCATCACTTACCTCTGAGTTCAATAGGAGAGAAGGATACTCTGAATAGCCAGGTTAGCATACAGCTGGTTTTTTTGTATTAATGATAATGAATCCTCCAAATTCGGCAAAATAATTAATTAAAAACCTTCATAACTACTCTCCCTCTAAGAATTTGTTTTTTAAAAAATTACAAATACAAAGCTTCAGTGCATGATGTGACGAATTTTTGCAGAAATTATAGTATGTGCAAAAAAGGATATTTTAAAGTCCATTTGCATTCTCACCTGAGCCCAGGATCCAGAAAGTGATTACAATTCCCACCCAATAAGGCGCAATGCAATAATGTGACCCGATATGAGGAAACCAGGCTAAATGTTCCAAAATTGAAAAATGAGATTTATGCTCTTCTGAACTTAAGTAAGCAGAGTTTTTCCTTCATTTTGATCTTTGTTTCATGTTGTTTGACACATCTAGTGCCAAGTTATGATTATTTATGCAAAAAGTAGCCTGCATGAACAGATGTAATTGAGTTATAGCCAATTTTATCCATTTATCTTGCATTATTTACATGCTGCACAATGGAAAGAAAGGTCTGTAATTTACCTTTCTTAACTCTTATGGGCAAATTTGCAAATAAAAGGAAATTCTTCATACAATACACTTTTGACAAAATCTCAGTTTTGATAAAGGACCACTGTCATAATAATTCCCCCAAATAGCCTGGTTTTGTCAAATCAGGTCACATATTGTGAAAAGTATGGCTGTACTCTCTGCATGGGTAATACAGCTGACTCATAGCTAAAGAGCTACTGCTACTTCTTAAGTACCACAATACTGAGATGTGGCAAAAGGAAGGAAAGCACTGGTGTCTTTATTTTAATTCACAATAGAGCTTTTAAGTCAAAAGTTATAGCAAGAAAATGAGGGCTCAGGTGAACACAAATGTACTTTAGTACTACATCTAACACTTTTTCAATTGTTAAACATACATGATGCTACTTTACAGAGTCACTATTGTCTAGAGTTTGTTTATGATTTATCAATTACATGATGAAGCTATTGTACTGATAAATTATAAACAAAGTGAGTCCTTATATATAGCATAAATAGAGTGCATGATAAACTGTAGAGAACAGTGACTCTGTATTGTACCTCACATAGGTCATAGTTGGAATAATGGATGATATCAACAATAATTTCACACTGAGTCAAGATGTCAATGGGCCACTACTGGCAGCTGTGATTGGGATGGAGATGCTAGCAGGACTCATTACTAACTCATTTGTGCTCATACTGACTGCCTGTCACTTGAAGAACTGGAAACAACCAACAACTGTATTTCTTTCTAACATGCTTGCAAATAATCTCGTTGTTATTCTTTTTACGATGCCTCTGTCCATCATAACTACAGCTAGTGGTGAGTGGATATTTGGAAGTACAGTGAGCCAAAAGGAAAGTGTATGCTACTTTGCTGCCTTTATATTCATATTTAGCATATTGACAGCAACTGAGAGTCTGGTCCTACTGTCATTTGATAGATTCTTCTTTATTGTGAAAGCTCTTCATTACAAGAAATACATGACTGTCAATAGAGCTTTTATAATTGTTGCTGTTTCATGGCTACTTGCTGCTTTTCTGAGCATGTTACCATTTTTTGGATTTGGAGCATTTGAATTTGCATCCAGTTATGGTATGTGCGTCCCTGGGTGGACGGGCCAGGCAGGGTATGCTATATTTTCTTTTATTGTCATATCAATATTCATTGGAAGCATTACAGTCACATCTTTATGGACAATGTGTTTCACTAGAAAATATCTTAAAAATGCTGCAACAAACATATCCACTGCAGCAAGCCCAGGTAACCCATATGC